TCTGCCAGCATCTGTCCAATCCGCCACCTTTCACTGTTTACACCGTTACGGGAAAAAAGACCAACAACAAAAAAAACATCGGCCCATTTAAAACGAAACATTACCATTTGCCCGGTGGGCCGATGGCCACTCCAGCTATGCTCACAGGCGGAGAGTGCTTTCGAGCGCTTTCCTTATAAAACGCAGTTTTTACCGTTTCTTCCCGCAGTAAATATAAACAACAATAGTATTCAGGAAGAAAACCAAACATTGCATATATTTTTATCATAACTCTGGTTTTACGTGGCCTATCAACACAATTTAAAAACTGGTATAAAGTCCACACTTTTTCCATCAATTGTTCCGACTGTCCTGCTCACATCTCCAATGGTTGTACACGTTGTCATTAACGTGGCTTCACTCCACATCAGCCACGCCGCTTTGCTAGCTAACACCGGTGTCGGCACATAAGGACGTTGATTAGCTCCATATATACGAATGTGAATCGCATTATTGGCTGGATTGTGGGATAAGATGGGATCGTTCTAATTCCATACGGGAGCAGCCAGTCACTTACTGACTAACACTGCAAAACAGAATTGTTAAAGTTTCAATTTTAATTTCAATTCGGGTTAGATTTTTTTTGTGCGCAACCCAGATTTTCTGTGCGCAGAGACCGTGCCAGCAGTGCGCAGCTTAGAGGGAACATTACAGCAGACTGTACTATGCAAGTGGTAAATGGAGCTTTTTAACATAGCAGATTAGAGCAGGGAGCCAATAAGGCCTTAGCCAGCCTTCCTAATAACTCTGCTCTTGTACTGTGCATAGTTAGCCAAGGTACTTTGCTAACATGACACATGCAACATATTTCTACTTTTGTGCTTTTACTGCTACAATTGGCCCATTATCACAGTTTCAGCCACTGGCTTCGACAGAGGCCCAAAAGAGTCGGGCTTGCAACATGTTTCAAATTCTTTTGTTGTAATTTGGCACAAAAATCTGCAGCATATGAATACTCAGTAGTATGGTTCACGCATTTCACTTTAAAGAAAAAATAATAATTTTGTAAAAGTGGTTGGGAAAAACGAGCTTGGTAAGAATATGATGCATAAATGTAAATGAGTACATCAAAATGTCAAATTTCACAGCGGTTGTGTTATTTTGGTACGTTTTATTTACACAAACGAAATTCGACATGTCACTGATCTGTGACTGGTATTGTACCTACGGACTTGGTTCTCGTACCCCCCCATCCCCACCGCCCTCCAATTGCCCGGGAATACCCACTTGCGACTGCGTCACTTTCCGGCTCCTACGCAGCAGTCGGAGCTGATAGCGCCCACTCACAAAAAAAAAAATAACCAGACGCGCCGCAACGCGTTTCAGAAGCGTACTAGTGTATCTCCGCCTCGTATCGCTTAAAATAGTCCCCCCTCTCTTTTTTTTTAACGGAAGCAGCGTGAAGCTGCACCGAGCAGTGAAGGAAGTCAGACACAGGAGCGGCGCCGAGAATCCGACCACTTTTGTACGTGCAGACGTCTTCTATTACGCCCTCTGTGAAACCGTGCAAGGACGGAACTAAGCGGCGCGACTTTTAACAAACGTAATCATTTTTTTTTTTTGCTGCGAGGTGCTGCACCGCTGTTTTGGATGAATTACAGCCTTTGTGAGATGCACCGTACATGTACTAAATATAAGAGGACACGGAACACACCGCCACACAAACACACAATATGTGACTTATAAGGCCATTATATTGACTTTAACCAATACCAAACAGACCGACTGGATCCAAACCTTGAAAAGGGGACCAGGAAAACAACTGCTTGTCTTTATAACATGTACCACCGCATTGATCACAATTGGACGCATCCTGTGTGAGGTTCTAATGGCTAACTGAACATTTAAATATATTATATCTAAATTATACTATAATATAATCACATTATATCATAAAATAATGTGACACAAATTCTCAGATTCTGATGTGTTTAGTTAATGGGACCTCTCATCTTATTATAGTGACTTCAAAGCTATGTACACTCTCACTCACACGTGTGTGTATATATATATATATATATATATATATATATATATATATATATACACACACACACACAAACATATGTATATATATATATATATATATGTATATATATATGCACATATATATATATATACATATATGTGTGTGTGTATATGTATATATATATGCATGTATGTATATATGTATAAACATATGTATATATATATATATATATATATATATATATATGTGTGTGTGTATATGTGTATAAACATATGTATATATATATATATATATGTATATATATATGCACTTTGCCTTTTTTCTTCATATCTATGTGTATTTACGTCAACGTATGTATTTATGTATTTTTTAAAAATAAGGTGAAAAATAAGGGTACTTGCTATGTGTAATTAATGTAAAGATTTTGCACTTTGCATTTTATGTTTATATCTATGTGTATTTACATCAACATCTGTATGAAAAAAAATTAGAGTGAAAGATGAATAATGTTTATTTATTTATTTCACAGCTAATACACATTTAGGATAATGCTGTACAAATTAACAAATACATTTTGATGGAAACAGACCCAAGAGTTTCACTGAAAGCTCATTCCAGGAAGCAGTGTGCAAACATACATAATATGTATGTAATAATTTCAATCCTGAAACTTGTATGGAGCTTTTATGGAGGTATTTAAGTTGGCAGGCCTACCTCTCAGTGACTTTTACTACAGCACGTCCAAATAAAGAAAAGAAAGCGCTCAACTATTCTCACTATCAAGCTTGGTATAGATGCAAAAGCTCTGTGATAATACTGATAATATAAGCTAACTAGTCACTATTAATGAGAGGACTGGTGTCATCTTTGCTAAATTTTAGCCTCCTTTAAACTGTTTTTTGTATATTAACATTTTTGCTGCCAGTTCTCTCACCAGTACTGCTACAGCTTAAACTCATCTTGATTGTTTCTGGAGAAATCGCCTTTCTTTCTGTCCAGAATAAGATAGATGTGGACACTATGTTGCATATTTCAGTTGAAATTTGTCATAATGTTACTGTGGTTCTCCTCAAGAGGGTGCTGTAAACCTAAGTCAGACACACAAAGATTATACAACAGTCAAGTGATAATGAAAGTCGGAGAGAAGATGCCTGCGTCATTCGATGAGGATAAGCTGTTGATGTGGCTTTAATGCATGGTAGACACTTTCAATATCTTTTTCTGACATATCACTGGAAATTAGTGCTGTATTGATCTGATCTGTAGTTTTGACGGCGAATACAGAACAGTTGCAGTTTGTATACAAGTTATTGCTACACTCCAGTTTGTAATCTTGCATTTCACTTAGGGGTAAGTGTTTAATGGCCCTCTAGATTTCTCAAACATTACCATACATACTTTTTTTTTTTAAATTTTACCTTTAGAAATATAATTGATGCTTAGCTGTGTGTAGGCTATGTAATGATTATAGCTGAGAGGGGCACATTACAGCTACACTCTTGAGAACTTCGCGTCGATGGAGGCAGTTGGATTGTGAGGCGTGGCTCAGATGTGGGAGATATACAGGTAGGTGCTGTTGATGCTCCAGTCAGGGGGGAAGTCTTGCACTGCGTGGCTCTTGATGTGTCTTTGCATGGCGACCAGGCTGCTGCAGAACTCCAGGCACACTGTGCACTGGTATGGCGCGGCCCCGCCGTGAGTCCGCAGGTGCTTGATCATGGCCGAGTAGTCCCGTGAACGTTGACCACAGAGGCGACACTCGAATGGTTTTTCGCCTTGAAGCAGAGAGAAGAAAGAGCAGGGTAGGGGGCACAGGAAGGAAGAGAAAGGAGGTGGAAGAGAGGAGCGCTCACTTGAGAAAGGGTGTTTAAAACATATTTATTTTCAGCGTTTTACAATCTATTTAGCACGGGCCTCTGTGCCAGTAGATGTAGTATGTGGGGTTATGTTTTTTTGGGTTGTCTGTATTTATGTAGGCTACATACGACCTTGAAAGCCTCAAGGGATTTTTTTTCCTTCTTCATAATTTGCACAAACATTCACTTGTTATCAAGAACGCACTGATGAATTTGATTGTCAAAGTCAGTTTCACACGGTGAACTCTCAAAGTACCTATTTTAGCCCTACTTGAAGAATTCATCAGATAAATAAAAGATTTTGTACAAATGTCTGTTAGGGTAAAATTACATTTTATATCTGTAAGGTCAAAGGTCAATTTTACTGTGCCATTATCATTTTCTGTAAAAAAAATTTTCCCCCCCTGATCACTATTAAATGCCATGACCAAGAGACTGTACTATAGATCGTGAGAACACATCTCACAATTTGAATACTGAATTGGTTCTATTCTGGTTGCACATATAAATTTACTGATTGGCATAAATTCTGGTATACATGCAATGTTTAATATTTAGTCAAATCCTAAAACTGTTTATTGGGTCAATTTTTCTTTCGCTCTCAACAGACACACTTCTTAAATGAGTAAACATGAGTAGAGTAAACTGGGGCACTTTTATGCAAATCATCCAGCTTTGCACCACTTGCATCTGCTTTCCACTAAGTCGGTTTTTCTATTTGATTGTAGGTCAAAGCAACACAAAATGAAATAGATAAATATCAGCTTAGTCATTCTGAGAAAAAAAACTTACATTTTCATATTAATAAAATGTGCTGACAAAATCTGTGCTTATAAAAAAAGTCTACTGGTTTAACAGGTAGTGTTAAAAGTCTAAAACAAAATCCTTTCCAAAGAGCTTTTAAACATCTAAGTGTGTGAACGCCTGAAAAAGAAGTGACTTATTTATGAAGTAATATACCCGGGAATTTCTTTTTAGTGTCTTCTTTCAGTCTTTCAGATACTCGTTGATTTGTGAGACATCAAAATTGCTCTTAAAAGATGTTATTATGAAGCAGATCTATCCTAGAACACACTGGCCTATCTGCAAGACCGACTCATGTTCATTACCATTTCTGTAGCTAAACAGACCTCAACTTAAGCAAATTAGCTCATGTCCTTTCCATCAGTGCAAATCATTTTTAAATTCTCTTCTTTTGCTTTAAGCTTCTGAATCCTACACTCCCAAAAACCCAATATGCAGAGCAAATGCTAGACATTCATCATGGTGAATATTTCTAATGTCAGTGTCTCCAAAGTAATCTTAATAATAAAGCTTTAAGGAGTGTTTTGGAAATGTATTTTCTTTACTATTTAGTATTTTCTCAATGTATAGAATTGCTTTGCAGTTAAATACAGACATGATGCCCTTTGTTGACTAGATTCTCTGTTGCGTGCAAGTTTCAAGTCTGCAAGTTTCATATTCTGCAAGGTTAACTTCATAGTATTAGAATGAGTGGAAAACTCTCTACTACCGAAGATGTTCTGCAGTAATGCACATGGGCCCGGTTGTACATTTAAAAAGTGCAGACACTTTTTAAATGTACTGAAAAACACAAAAACTTCTTAGTTATTATAATGAGGATACTTAAAAATGGTATAACTGTGACAGTTATTCATAAATTCCTTAATTTGGCTGTAGCCTGCCATGCCATGTCTCTGATATGATTTTCCAAGTCCCACTGACTAAAACAACGTCAGACCTTTGTTGCTGTTGTTATTTTTAAACATGCTTTTCAAAGTCAGAGTTGGTAAATACATACTGGGCAGATTTATCAGACTTAATTTTGTAACTAGGTTAACACTTGTGACCTATGTTTATAGATTTTATTTAATTTCTTTTTTTTTTCTAAATTATTAGTCATTGCTGTGGGTAATCATTTTCCATCAGTGTCAAGCCAGAGGATTCTTTGCTGCACTATAAGTTGAAAATTCTCACAGCTATCTTTGAAAAAAAAAGTAAATAATCTGATACGCTGATGCACTGCTGTTGAAGAGATGCGCTTACCAGTGTGTACTCGGTGGTGTGTGTCCAGCTGATGTTTCAGACTAAACTTCTTAGGGCAATGTTGGCACTGATAGGGTTTTTCTCCTCTGTGGTCTCCTCTGGTCTCTGATTCATGCGGTGTAACGTCTCCTCGTCCGCAGAACCGACATCCTGTGCAGGTTTTGCCTTTGAAAACAATCAGATTTTAATATAAAAAACAGATCTTGGTGCGAATATTGTGGTGACCTTTTCTGTTGTAAGTTGTATGTTGTCAGATAGAAGCTGCTTGCATTGCTTGCTGGAATGGAACTACACAACAACAAGATATTGCATAAATGTGGCTGAATCTATAGTAGTGCTGCGACGCTGAACAATCAGGTAGTGGATAACCAGGAAATGTATCTGAAAATAATTTTGAAAATAATTTGATTAATGCTGGCATCTTTGTATCTTGCAAAAAAGAGAAGATCTAACGGGTTCACAGCTGGCTCTGCAAAATTGTGTGTTAATCGATTTCTTGATAAATAACTGTCAGATAACTGTTAGTGATAATCCCGCCTTAGCTGATGTTAGTAGTCATGCTCGCAGAGTCTCTTGCTCTGACTTGCTAACTCAACCAGCTGTTTCAAAATAAATAACCACAGTTTTTGCCAGACCTTTAAAAACCGATTTTAGTCGCACAGCATTAGACATACAGCATTTCACTTGCATTTCTAAGGCACGTCTATTTTTGTTAAGCATCCTGTTGCGAGACAATAAATTCAGTTGGTACAAGCTTACCTTCCTGTCACTATGCACGCATATCACCTCTAAAAATTATAAAGGTGTGATTTTTGAGGTTAAGGTAGCACCACTGAAGCTTTACACTACCTTATATTTTTTAGGGTCTATCAAGTAAAAACATGGGCCTCATAGTTTTAGACAGGATGCTGAAAGGAGAAGGGGGTGTACTGTAGTAGGGGAAATTGAAAGAATAAACCACAACAATCGAACACTTACCACTCTAAACACAAGCTACTGAGACCTGTTGTCATTAGTGCATTTCCTGTCCAATATATCACTTCTTGCTAAAAAATACCTAACCTCATATAAGGTTTGAACACGTCTCTCTCTGTTTTGTAAAGATCTAGAAATAATATGGGTGTTTCTCGGTTGACTTTTACAAAATAATAATGCTAATAAAGATTGTTTTACTGTTATCCTTACTCTATGCAGCAGCAAGAAAACTCTGAATTTTATTTAAGACGCAACTGCTGGTAAGACAGTTTTACCATTGCCTAATCTGTTTAAGCATGATTATAATGTTCCATTGAGCAAAGATATTCAACATCTGATAAAATATTTATCAGGCTGATTGTACACTTTCGTGTGCACACACTCACCCACACAAACATGCACACGCACAAATGGTGTAACTCATTTTTGTGTGGATGAAATGAATATTAGAACGACATAATAAATCAATATGTTTGACTTTTTTGGCATGGGACAAACCACTGTTGCGATGCAGTACATACTGTACTGCATGTATCTAGCTGTATCTAGTAACCACACTACTGCTCCTGCTGCACCCTGCTTTCAAAAACCACAACTCTTTTTATCACTTTCCATTGCGTTGCTACACAGCTGGAGTCTGCAGAGGTTAGGGGTCATGAAAAGAACTTTTTACTTTTATCTTGTTAAAATTATCATTTCTACACAGGATGATCACTTTTACAATACTAATGTAGCTTCAGCATGTTTTGATTATTGAAAGTGTGTGTTTTGTGTTTCTCATATCATTACCTAACTGTGTGGAGACTGACTCCCGCAGCACCGGATCATTGCGTAGACTGCAATGTTGGCAGTCTTGACCTCTGTCTTTGCTGGCTTTGGACACTTCGGGGTAACTGAGGACACACAAATTAACAGTTGCAAAAAAACAAATGTACTAATTATACCTTTAATTTAAAATGTAAACCTTCATTTGTCTCCCAAAGTCACAAACCGCAAATATATATATATAAAAAAAGGTTTCTGTGTGCCGACTTCTAAGGCACACCTTCAAAATGGCACATGGAAAAAAGTCAGTCTGCATACGTTTTACTGCTTTACGTGTTATCACAAATTATGTCCCTTAGACACTTAAAACTTCCTTCCTCTCAAATTTCAACCACAATATACTTATATGTTTAGTACATGCTCAATGCTAAAGAAAAGACTGAAAAGAGGTAGAACAGATTAAACAGTAAAGGAAGATTTCAGTGTGTGGAAACTCTCGAATTTGCAAAGGAGGGGAGAAATTTAGGGGGCTCCCCGTTATGTTCTATTTGGTTTTGCTGTGAGGAACAGTGCGCAATGTGTATACGCTAAATTATCACATAAAAACAAAACAAGGTGAAGTGGGTTATTACTTTGATGATAAATGAAACTTACATATCATATATATAATATATTATATATATATATATAATTATGAATTATATGATATATATATATATAATACTATATTATAATATGTTTTATATATATATATATATATAATTATTTATATATATTATATAATTAATATATTAATATATATAATATATATATATATATATATATATTATATATTATACATACATATATATATAAACATTTATAAATATATCTCTTTTTTAGCCCTTTTGCGCAGTGGAAGCTAGGATGATAACTTCTCAAAAATGAATTTCACAGACCTGGACTGGCAAGGAAGGGTTAACAGGTGAAACTGATGTAGCTGGAAAATGCAGGAGGCTTGTTAACACATATCTACCCAAAAAGCAGTGAGTCAGGTGTGGTAGCTGTCACAAAGGAAAAGTTGAGCAAATCGGGGGATTCTAAATTACTCTATTAGAGGAAAAATTTGGAGATAATGACTAGAAAAAAAAAAAAAAAAAAAAGTTTCCAAAATCATGTCCGAACTGTGTCTTACCTTGGTTCACCAGGTTGAACAGTCCCAGGAAATGCTTTCTGGCTAGATCTTTTTCTTTTTAAAAGGCTCTGTTTGATTATGTTTCCCATTCGAGTCGGACCAGTGTAAATGTTTTGTGCATAGCGGGGGTGGAAGCCTGAGTAGCCCATTATGGGGTTCTGACCTGGGGTTTGAAAATGAGAACTTAGTAGGGGGAACATTTGGGGACTGGAGAGAGAGTATGGGTAGGGTATAGAGGACTGGTTGGGTGACTGAAGAGGGTGAGCTGCAAGTAAGCTTGGATAGTTTTCTGCTATTCGCCGCAAGGTGCTCACAGAGTCCCACATGTTTGTAGAGAAAGTCCATGGATAAGAGAAAGAGGAATTGCTACTAGCAGGCTTGGCAACAGCACTGTTTCTGCTGTGAATTGGTTCTGAAATAGGGGACAGTTTGGCCTTCTTTCTTGGGGGTGATGGACTGCTGTGGGTCTTAGTAGGAGTAGAGGGTGAAAGGTTTTCCATGGCAGTGCCTGCCTCATTCCCAGGGAAGGACCTCTTAAGCAGTTTATCCTCATTAAATGGACTTGCGTTTGAATGTTGATCTTGTCCCTCTGGAGTCTCCTTTTCTACTTTGACATCAGTGGTTTTGTCTCTTTTTTCCTGCTTTTCTGCTCTGCAGTCAAGAATGTCCAGCTGCTTCCTGCACTGATCCTCCAGTGGCTGCATCTCCAGCAGTTGTGCAGCTTTCAATAGTAGTTGCAGATCATCCACAGAGACCTCAAGAGCTTGCGTGTAGGTGAAATCCAGAACTTGCTGGAAGGTGTGAGGTGAAAAATACTCTAGAGTGCAGCATACAGGGCTGTCTATGTCTCCGCGGGCTAGCTGCTGTGCTAAAGTTCTGCTAGCACAGGCTAGTACTAGACGATGAGCCCTGAAAGTTTGACTCTTTACCGAAATTATAGCATCACAGAGTGACCCTGAGCGGCGTAAGGCATCTGCCTGCTCCAGGAAGTGGAAGTATTGGGTGTTGTTGATTCTGATCATGTCTGAAGGTGTAGATGTATAATCAAAAGTCTGAGAAGAGAAAACCAAAACCAAAAGAGATATCCCATCAGATTATGCCCACTCTATCTGAAAGTTTGTTCCATCTATTTGCCACATTGCTATGTGACATTTCCAGAAATGCTAAATTGTATGTTGGAAAATCAGGTTGAAAAACAGCAGCACAGATTGGCTTGTGATTAACAGATATACTTCTCTGTGGTTTGCACTGTTTTTTTCCACCCTTTCCAAAGAGCATTACCTATAGTGAAAGCTGAGGGGGCAGAATGTACCCAACATGATTATTACAAAGATATTTATTATTTGTGTAATTACAAAGAACCGGTGTAACTCAATTTCATTTTCAGCGACTTTTCAAAACAGTTTTTTAAAAGTATTCTTTAAAAAAATCCTGTATCTTTTTGTAGAGTCATATTTGCAAGAAAACTTTCCTCAATCACTACTGTGTCTGTTATCATGTTTGAATGCCTGGCTGCTGTGTGGAAATGTACTCTTATGTGAAAGCTTTGATATTCAGAGTTCACATACACACTCTAAAGCCACAAAGCCCTAACAGTATATGAAACCATGACTAATGACTGTACACGCGTAAACATGAGTGAAAAGTTTGAACATCAACAACAATAAGACCATATTTGAGTACAATAAACATCAGATGCAAGATATTGCAGGGGTGGAATATGTAAATATGTAAGTATTTTTTTGGAATTTAACATTAATATTGAGAATACATGGATGAAGAGGCTGTGGCTGTACGCTAAAACTACCGGATGCCTGAGAGTTTGTCATCTTCACACCGTCTGAAGTCTATAATGAACCTTTATGATTATACAGTGTGCGGTCGGTTTCTGAAGCAGAGGTCACAAGTACTGTGAGCTATTTCAGAAGGTTTTTTTGTTGTCTTTTTTTGCGCAATTGCAAACCCATACCCGTACCTCGATGGTGACTGTAAATGAAAAGTAAATGTGAAACAAAATGACATTTAGTTGTCTCATTACTGGAATTTAAAAAAAATATGTGCATAAATGATGCACCAATCAAAATCTTTTGTCTTGCGTAAAAATTCACGAAAATAGTTTACATGAGCGATTTAATCCTTTAAAGCCTTTTAAAAGCGTTTTAGCTTGCTTTAATTACTTTCAAATTATTTTTAGTTTTTATATTTGTCAATTATTTGGCTGTGTCTCATATGTAGGTGTAAGTGGTACAGCATGGAGCAGTGAGAGTGAAAGTGACAGTGGCGCAAGGCCATTATCGAAAGTACAAAGTTACTTAGTGCTTCTGTGTACTTGGGTTTGAAGACAAGCTTGAGTTTTCATTTGATCATGCATTTATCGGTTTTGGGTTTTTTTTTTAAAGTCAAGACAATTATTAAATGTTTAATTCTAAATAAACAGTGTCGAAAGCACGTAGGGAATTCAGTGTGCAAATCAAGCTTATGTCAGTTTAGTGACGGGTATCGTCCGCATAGATGAATATAAAGTGCGTTGACCCGTATTTCCCAGTATGGCATTTACGGCTTCAAATATAAAGATATATTAAGTACACGCGCATATAATGCTTTGATTTTGCAAAGCTACATATAAAGTAACTTTCTAATCAGAACAATTAAAATTTCTGGAGTACAATTTTCGTCATTTTCCACATAGTCATTTTAAGTGACCTGCATTTACGTTAAAACAGCGGCAATAATGATAATAAAATACCAATGTCATTATTAAAACATTATCGTATTAGTTGTCACAGTCGTGACGACAATATAATTAAGGATGTGGATACACACTAACATTACATAATGTATTTATAATCATTAAAAAAAAATTTTTAATTAACATTATTTTAAATCCAAGGAGATTTTGGTGAGATGTGAAAAGAAATGTGTCATAAACAAATCTTTGATCTGTATATTGATGCTCTTGTCTTACTTGCAAAGGCCTTTCAGGATTATTGATGTCTTTCAGAGTGCATTATGTGCCAATTCATGCACTTTCATTTTAACTGTGATTAGAATGTGTTTTCAAATACTGTGCTGACTTTCTGGTGACATTATGTAATTCCAATAGTACTGTATAATTTATGATTGTTCACTGTAGTGCATATAGAGGTGCTCTCCTGGAAGCTGCTGGCCTATAAATGTTATTTTATGCTGTGCCCAAAGTTCACGCTTACCTGGTTTAAATCTATTTGTCTTAATCTAACTGTTTATTTGTCATAAACTGCCTGGTATAATATATTGTTCCCACTGCAGCTGCTCGGATCAATGTAGACCTGAGTTGTGCCATAGTTAGCAGGTGTTTGATCTCCTTTTAGTAAAAGTATAATCAATGTCAATGTAAAGCCTTACACATTTGACAAGAGAAGTAGTTAAAGTAAACCCTTCCACAGCTCACACGTAAAGCACTAGAGTTGAAACCCAATTGATAAAACCCTCAACGGGCAACATATCAGTAGCACAGTGCTAAGTTGTGTTTACAGTAGATCTAAGATTAGACAGTTAAAAAGAGCAAAGATGAGAAATGTTGAGGTGCATCTTCTTGTGGTTTCAAGTGTTGGAAACCTAAGAAGCAACAAGCTGCATGAATGAGGCACTTACCAGATGTTTAGTGAATATTCTCCAAGGCGAACGATGAGCTACCTCGCATCATGACTGTGAAGCGACTTCTAAAGTGACATGTCTGTCAGGGCACAGGTTATACTGTGGGGCAGGGTGGTTTCCTCTTTTGTCTCTTCAGTCCCTCCTCTTCATGTTAACTCTCTCTGATTGGTGCTCTGATTACAGTGCTAAAAGGCTTGCCTTTTGTGATTAAAGATGGGGACTTTCTGTTAACTAAACCAGTACTTTGTTAAATTTTGCTTTGCTCAAACCACGGAGGAAGTTTTGATAAGGAATAATTTCTACTTCTTGTCTAAGTGTCATACAGCTATTGTTGTCGAATACAAAACACAAACCAAACCAAATTAACAATGAAAACTTTTTTGAAAATGAGAGAGAAAAGTGAGGACAGTGGTTGAATGGTAATGTTGCACACCTGTACATGTTGTACATGATTTCCTCTCCTCCTACTTCATTTGCTGGTCACTACATTAATAGACTGTTCTCTGCTGAGACAAAAACCACTTCAAAGACAGTCATCTGTGACAGGAAACATACAGACCAAAGCCCAGTGGTACTGATATGTAGCGCCGAGCTTTACTAAAAGCTGCGCTCTGAAAATAGAAATATCTGCTTTGGCCTTTCGATATGTCAGATGTTGGCGTGACAACCTGTAAAAATAGGCCAACTGTAGCGAGCTGGTCAGTTTGTCAGCCCGTGATGGTGGAGTATACTCTGTGCCTTTGCTTGCATTTAATGGTTTGTTTTGCCATATTCCTAAATTAGCTTTAATTTTTAAGCTAGTTATTTTTTTCTGCTACATTTTTAAAACTTAAAGGTTGTTTCTTTACATTTTTTTGTTCAGCTCAGGGGGAGACATCGTGTGATAGGAAAAAGATGCAGATGTGCCATCTTTTTAAAGAATTCTTGTTATACAGTATAATTTGGGCTCTTCATACAAGTGTAAAGAAAATCAGCAGTTTGTCAACACAGATGAGCATTTTCCACCTAAAAATGATTAGAGACCACCGAGTGAACCACACGTCATTAGAAATATTTGCATTTACAAATTTAATTGCAGTTACAAATGCCTGACAGATTATTGAGAACGTGGGCGTGTGTCTGTCTGTGAATGTGGGTGGACCACATTTTGCCATTATTACACAAACAAAGATACGTGCACACACAGAGGCAAGGCTCACAAAGTGAAAACAGTAACTGCCGAGCTGTTAGGAGGGCAGAACGATCAAAAACGACATTAAAGCTTGTTCTCGAATATTTGTGTTAGAGTCCTGCTGTTCAAAGAGCTGTGACCCACTCGGGTATGATGTGCATTCTGGGTGCTCATTTGGTCAAAATCTGGGGAGATTCAAGGCTGATTCAAGATCTTTGGCTCTTTTTGTAACTTCCTTAAACTGTTCAACTGAAGGAAGGTGTGATGTTTAGACAGGCAGATGCTTTTCAGGAGTGCAGTTGTCATGAGGGGGTTACCTTGGTCTGCCGCAATATTTACTTAGGTGGTTGGTATTACCATTATATCCACATAAATTTAATGATCCTTGGTTTACCAATATAGTATGCTAGTGTAATATGATGACCAGTGTTATTTACTTCACAAAGTGGTTTTACCACCTTCAAGATAGTTCCGGCTATAATGGAACCTTTCTTTGTGTACACGCAGGTGTGGACACACATACACACACCAGGTACACACACAGTGACAGTGACAAGGTGACAAAACAACATGAGCTATGCTGTCATGGTTGGCACAGAAGAAACACAGTAGACTATTTAGCACAATTGAACATGCTGCAAGTGTAAAAACCAAACAATCATGGTTACAAATTGAAACAAAACATATGTACAAGACAGAGCTAGGACTTTATGCAGTGTTCATTTCAGCAGCACGGTAGCACATAAACTACAACTGGAAAGCAAGTATCAATATTTCTGAGGCTGTCAATAGTATTACTTGTAAGCCAGTGTTGTCTAAACTTGTTTATTGTAGAAGCTCTATAAAGTAGCTTTTAGTTTGAGTCAACATGCAAAAACTGTTAAAAGAGAACATGGTAAAATACTATTGTGTATGGTCAAAAGCCTGAAAACACCTTTTTGCATGAATTATATTAATTTTAGCTTTGCTTAGTGACATTATTTCTTTGCTTTTACTGATGACTGCCATATTCACTTTTACTGAAACTACAAGCACAGTGAAATGTAATGTTAATAACATATCTAATACTCCATTGCACACAGAATAATGATTCTCTTTGGCTAACTTGCTAGCTAGCATTACATAGCATTACATCGGTTCCAGTAACAAGCCATTTGTGGATGACTAAAGTTTAAACAGTTTCATGTAAGTATTTCAGTTCTTAATTGAGTAATGCTTACTAAAATGTAGTGTATATACCTGATGTTTACAAAGTGCAAGAACATTTGCAAAGACATTTTTAAAGCATTATACAGTCATGAAAAAAGAAAGTAGTACAACTTTCATTGCTACGGTTTTACATTTCAGAATGCAATTTAAAATCATCTGTTCCTTACCTGATTCTAAAATAATTTAAATAGAAGCTCATTTTTACAACAGCATAGTTAATACAGAAGCCACAATACAGAAACTATGTGGAAAGTTCATACTAAACTCGTGCTACATCCATGGAAATTAAGAGGGAAAGTAGCAACCAGTTGGTGTTAATCAAATGCAGCCAGTTAGCTGATCATCAGTGAGTTAGAGCATCTCTACAAAAACAAGACTTTTGGCAGTTATGGAGCATTCAGACGTACATTAACACAATGCCAAGAAGGAAAGATCAGGTATGTTCTAACACAAGCAACTGTTGTTGTCTGTCAGTCTGGGAAGATTTATGAGACAGTTTCCAAACAATCTGAAGTCTACAGTAAGAATGATTATTCATAAGTGGAAAACATTCAAGACATGATATATGGACGCCCGGCAAATTCACTCAAAAATCAGAGCGTCTATTTCTCTGAGAAACTGCAAAAACCCAAGAGCTACATCTGAGACTCTACTTGCCTCAATTAGCATGTTGAATTTTAAAGTTATTAACAGGAACTGGTAAAAATCTTCTTCTCTCTAAAAGAACATGGCAGCATAGCCTAAGCTCTGCAAACCGCCATCTGTGCTCCTCTGTATACCAATATATTCTAGAGACAAATGAGGTTGTATGTCCAACAGCTAAAACTTGGCTGAAATGGGGTCATGCAACAGGACAAAGATCCCAAGCACAGCAGCAAAACTAAAACAGGATGCCAGAAAAAGAAAAGAATCAAGGTGTTGCAATAGCCCAGTTAAAAACCCGGCCTCAACCCAACTGAAATGCTGCGGTGGGACCTTAAGGTAGTTGTGCACAAACAATTTCCCCCAAACCACAATAAATTGAAGCAAAGTTGTAAAAAAAGAGTGGTCAGAATTTCTCCACTATGATGCAAGAGATAAAATCATAGAAAAAACAGTTACTTCAGGTTATACTAGCTAAAGATGGTTCTGCACGCTAGTGAATCACACAATCAGTTTTTGATTCACTGATTCTGATTTTTTCTTTTTTAAATAAATGATGGCACAGTGCTTTATTTCATGTGTTCTTGTCTTGTTCATCTGAGGTTGTAGGCTTTTTTAATTATGTCCTTGCATGTAAAACTATAGAACTTAGAGTGCACTTTCTTTTTCAAATCAAATTGTTAATGCTCTGTTCACTAGAAAACAGATTTAGCACATTTCTGCACATGTCAGTATGTTTCTACCACCTGTTTTTCAGTGAAATATTAGAAAAGGCATCGGTGGGGACTTGCAAGGCCTCACTGGCCTTTATGTACTAATACACACACCCAAAACAGGCAAGGGAAGTGCCCATTTGTTGAAAAACAGCTCCATAGCACCACTTGAGGTAAAAACCTCAGCAGGAAACTTTTTTTTCTGCATTTTCTTTACATTCAGGAAGTTGCTCTTGGAAATGCAGAAAAAAACAACAACACTTTGTTCGACCTACTGTTTAAAGTAAATCTAACACGTTATATTACACAGTAAAAACGCCATTACTTTTATTTGACTATCAGCTTATTATAACTACATGCATTTCGTATTTACATCAACACCTTCAGAACTAATCTTTGATTAAATGCTGACTGGATTACTGACCTTGTCAATTACATTTATTTAGAAACACATGGATCAGATTTTTACCATTGTGCACTGTATTGTTAAAACCTGCCAAAGAATCCCAATTGTCTCATATGAGCTGTATAAATCAAGCTGTTTTGATATTGATTTTTTAACTCAAGTCTCGTAGAGGAATCATAGTGCGATTGCTATCATTTGCTATTTCTGTTTTATTAATACATTGTTGTGCATGGCTTTTAAGTTACTATAAAGAACACTGTTCCTGCCCTTATTGTTCTTGCAATGTCCAGTTGTCATGAGGGATATAAATTGACACGATTACTTCTTCTTATATATTACAATAAACACCACCTAATGTGTTGTATCGTATGCTATATTTTGGTTTGTGGTGAGTAGTTTGTTTTAAGCAGAGATAAGATCTTGCTCAAGAATTTTTTCTCTGCAAGGTTTCTGTTTGCATATTAAGACAAAAAAGAAATGAATAGCGTATTAAAAAACCCCCCACTTGACTCTGTTCAGAGTTGCAGAATTAAAAAGGTGACACATAAAAAGTGATTTTGTTTCTCCACATGCACGATCATGCATGATCTTAGAGAATTTTAAGTTAACTTTGGGGGGGTTTTTTTGCTTTTTTTTCCATTTTGACTTTGGCAGCATGTTTTGGATATGTGAACATTTCCTATGTGGTGAATACAGTGCGCAAACTGCTTTTCCCAATAATTTTCAAGAGTTCATCATTTACATAGAACTTAATTCCAAATATAAAGCACTTAAGATTAAGTAGTATTCGTCATAAATGCTTCTCACCTATATGATAAAGGGACATGCATAAAGTGTGAACCACAAGGTGGTTTCCTGTAATGGCTGTGATCACAGGTTTGACAGGTTGTTGCATTAAGAAGGGAAAAAACTAGAAACTGTCATTTTGTGTGGGTTTGTTTTTTTTCAGCTTACTTTTTTTATTTAACAGGTTTTCTCGCAGTTATTAGTGCATTACTGCCATACGTTACAATTCCGCGATGTAATATACGATATCTGACCATTCGTGGTAGCTTAATCACGTATAGGTATCGTGCTGTGTGCATGCTTACAAGAAAGTCGGTGACATTTGGGGGC